AGTTCGAAACTAATGATGGAGCAAGTTGCGTAAGCGCTTTTTATCTTTTTACCACGTGCAACCAAGATGTGAAATCATGTGATTCGGCACAACGTGACCAGTTATTTTAGAATTCGCTTTTTATTTTAACCGCGAGTACAATAATTTATGTTAGAAATAGATAAATATCCAATCGCTTTTTTTTTTTTAATAATTGAATCTTCAAGCATTCATTAACTATTGAAATTTATTCAGGTCCGCCCGAGTGTTAATGATGGCGGGAGTTTTGATCGTCTTCCCATTCAATTCTTCTAACCCGTCACCGGCATAGGATACCAAAGGGGAAATCTCGAAATTAAGTGTTTCAGAAGTTTCACCCGACTCGACTTTTCCATTGGCGCGTTCGACGAACCTCACGTGTTGATCTATTATATCCTTTCGACTGGTGCCCGGATCGTCGACGCCGGTGCCCGGTGCATTCTTGAGAGGCGAAAACTCCTCCTTCCTATCAACTTCAAGTACCGCCATGCGTTCTGCAAAGGGGAAAACATCGAAAACAAAAAGCTCAAGCTTCATGCCGTTTGGTTTGGAGGGAGAAACGAATTCTCCGGTGCTAATATCAGTGTGCTTGATCTTCTTCCTTGCGATGTGATACTCTAGTTTATCCTCGAAAGACTCTATGCGGCTGAGAAAGTCCACGGTGTAAAAATGATTAGCGATATTCGCAGCGCCAAACAAAAGTTGTCCATTGGGTTTCCTTTTATTCGAGATCTCGGCGTCAATTTCACTGTATTCTACCACGCTGAATTTCCCATCACGAAGAGCGATGACTCCAACGGGTTCCTCGGGGGAGGATTTGCGAACGGCTTTCGCGCCACAATCCGCATTTTTCTCAATGCAATACCCAATGAAAACGGGGTCGGCAACTCGGACCAGACAATTATCCACGCAATACGCGTGAACATAACAAATGTTTTTCGATTTCAAGGAGTCCAGGACTTTTTCGTTTCGGAGAGCGGCGTATATTCCACCGTTACCATCAGGAGCAACAGCGAGCTAAAACATCATTTTAAAACATGAAAATCATCGCAGTGACAAATGAATGAAATAGGTTGAATCGATACGCGCGCGTACCTTGGACTTTGATTCCAGGAACACCTTTCCGTCGTTGGTCAGCGCGGGAAGTGTGCCTACACGGTAGCGAGTCAATGACACAAATTCGAATATTATTTAAGAAGAAAATGAAAATACCTTGCTCAAAAAAGATAACATTTCCTTCTTTCATTCCGAAATAATTGTGCTTCTTAAAGAAAGCCTCGGTGGCTGGTCTTGTTGGACCGCTGGTCATTATATACCACGGAATGATAACTTCGTTACCGGGCTTCGCATACTCTTGAGCGATTTCTTGTAATCTCAAAATGCGCTCTGCCTGGAGTTGAAACAGAGACTTTCGAGAAGGCAAGCCGATGTCATAACAACCTTTGGGATCCGAAGAGCCCAATCTTGTTCCCTGACCTCCGGCCATTAGAATGACGCCCACTTTATTCTGAGCTATCGCGCTTAAACCTTTATTCCTCCATCCCTCGATTTTCCCTTCGTCACCCTCTAGCACAGTATCGAACACATCATCAGGCAAAGATTCCAGGTTTTGCTGTTGGTTGGTTGAAGCGTTGATTGAGGTTTTAAAAATATTGTTGACGCGTTCAATGTCGAGTTTTTCGAGTTGATTGAAAAGAGCGGCTTGTTGTTCAGGTTCGAGTTCCTCGTAGAAGGTGAAGAGATGTTCCTGACCAGCGGCGGCGTACCTTTGTTTCAGAGATTCGAGTTCAGCTTGGGTAGGCATCATTTAATTTTTTTCCTAATGACGACATATTGCCCGAACCTACGTAGCTTTTATACGCAAATACGTATATGTGTGAAATTTATTTGAACTGCCTAGTTTGGTGAGATTAATACAGATATCTGTATTAGAATCTGCATAAGAATCTGTGCGTGCGTGATAATCAAAGTTTGTTCCACCATGGCCTTGCTCGAAAGCGTCTGCCCCGAGCTGAATCTTGTCGCACGCGGCAAAGTTCGTGACTTGTACCGCGTCGACGACGACTCGTTGCTTTTTGTCGCGACGGACCGTATAAGTGCTTTTGACGTTATCATGAAGAACGTATGTTACGTTATATTCGCGACATGACAAGATCCATTTATGCCTCGTTTGTGAAATAAAAGAAAAAAAAAACTTGTTCTTTTTTCAAATAAACCAAAATGAAATGCCAAGGGTATTCCGGGAAAAGGAAAGATTCTCACGGAAATAAGTGTATTTTGGTTCGATTTTCTTAAAGACGTCATGCCCAACCACTTGATTACCTCCGATTTTTCAAAGATGCCCGCAATAGTACAAAAATACAAGGATCAACTTGAGCATCGATGCCTACTGGTAAAAAATTTGAAAGTTTTTCCAGTTGAGGCCATTGTACGAGGTTACATCACCGGTAAGTCATGAGTGTAAATTCCGATGGATCTCGAGAATTTTTAATTTCATCACGCCAACAATATTTCCGACAGGCTCCGCATGGTCTGAATACAAAAGGAAGGGTAGCGTGTGTGACATTCCTCTTCCCGAAGGGCTGTTAGAGTCTCAAAGTTTTGACAAGGTCATGTACACACCAAGCACAAAGGCCGAAATCGGTCAACATGGTAAATATGAACTTTGTGCAACTGATATTCTTCCGATTTTCCATGCTGGCAAACATCTGACTGTTTCTAGATGAAAACATCCATCCTAGTAAAGGTGAAATTTCTTACGATCGCCTAGTTTTTTATTTTTAAGCAAGTTCACGTATTGATCGATTAAACTCACTCTTTTTTTTTTTCTCTCAAGTGCCTGAAATTGTTGGGGAAAAGTGTGCCCAGGACATTGCTGAACTTTCGGTCAAACTATATTCTAAGGTAATCCATCTCATTAAGGCATTCACCAAAAGTTTTGATAAAAAGATAAAATTCATACTGAAACTACCTTACCTAAAAGGCGAGGGATTATGCAATAGAAAAGGGAATTATCATTGCCGACACTAAATTCGAATTCGGTGTTGACTCTGGCGGAAGGTTACATCTTGTCGATGAAGTCCTGACCCCTGGTAATTGATCACTTCATTTGCTCCCAGGCGCCACACGCCATTCTTTATATGCTCATTCAATGATTTCCATTTAACCACCAAGATTCTTCACGGTTTTGGCTCTCCGATAATCACGAAGTTGGTAAGAGTCAGGAAAGGTAAGGAAGAGGTAGTAATCATATTTGCGTTATTCGCGAAAGATAACTAACCCATTCATCTTCTCGAAACTTCAAAAAAACATGATCAGTCTTGACAAACAATATGTTCGTAATTATTTATTGAGTATCGGATTTGACAAGAGGACTAGCATCAGCTTACCCGATAATGTAGTACAAAAAACTCGGGAAAGGTATATCAAGGTGTACAAATTGCTAACAGGGTTCGAACCAACTTTTTTGTGATTATTTTTTAAAAGATGATTGTAATCAATAAAATACATTCTGCTTCAACCTCCACCATAAACTTTACTATAATTAAAAAGATAAAACAAATTACACGGGTCATACTGAACTTCAATGTAATTTGTGTTCACATTATCTTTTAAATTATAATATTAAAACTTATTTTCCAAATCATCCATCACACTAGCATTCCATTCCACTCGCACTCGGATTAATAATATTATTAGAGACACCTAGTTGTAAATCAATCGATTCTATTAGTGGTGCCGCCAATACTATAACTAATCCTTCCAACTCGTCATTCAGTGTTTTTTTCCTCCATAAATCTCTTGAATTCATCCAAGCCTTCTCTGGCGCGTTTCTGTGCTTCAAATAAGCTTCCTCCAGGTGAGGTCAAATGGATGGCACTGGATAAATTTTGATTCCTATTTCCAAATATAATAGTTAGAATCAAGCATATTATTAAAGCTTTTTTTTTTTTTTTAAAAAAAAAAAAAACGGTGATTAACATTGAGTCCACAACGTGGAGTAGAGCCTGGAGTTCGTAAAGAATTTGAGCTTCTTGCTTGCTTAAGGTCGACTGCTGCTCGGTCTGAGCTCGAGTGGAAGAGCTATTCGAAACAGAGTTAAAGACTTGTCTCATACTAAAGATACATTACACGTAAACTTGTACCTAGAAGTGGACATTTTTTACGAAAACGCGCAAATGTTGATCTACAGTGCGTGCATTATTATATACCGTACCTTATAGTCACAAACGATTATCACGTGTCAAACTTCACGCCCTCAACAAAAATTCGGCATGGCGAGCAACGAATCCTCGAAGGAGGATTTGCGTAGTCACCTACACTCTGTTCAAAAGGAATTTCAAACTTCAAACCATACGCCGGAAGTGTTGATAAAATTCTTGAACGAACCGTTAGATTTTCTTGAAAATGGCAACTCTTGGAATGGACCTTCCCCCACACCACAACTACAAAGCTTTTTTCTGAAAAAGTTATACGCAAAACATTTGAACTTTATCATTGAAAATGTCATATACGAGGGATTTTATGCTCACACGCGATCGCTCCAAGATAAGCTCGTTGCAGAGTATTTCGTTCCTACGGGAGAGAAGACAGGGCAAAAAGTCAGACGTGCAAGTATTTCCTTGCGAGTGTTGGTCACACATTTCTCTCTTTCCGAAGTCGATCGGCGACAACAGGGTGCTCATCTGTTGAAGCTTATTCAGAAACTCTTAATATCACTGTTGGATGCCTATACCTTCGAGGATTTGTATGAAGCGATAATGAACAATGCGGAAACTAGTCAAAGTGAAAAACGCGCGGAATGGATGGAATTCGTGAACCTCATTTGTTCTTTACCTGAAAGATCTGCGAATCTGATGATGCTAAGTGAATATCAACGGCGTGATGTTAGACCCCAAGAGGAAACCACAAATTTAGATGATTTGTATCCTGGAATGAGACACATCAAAAACATTCTCTTCAAAAGATTTACATGCCTCTTCAAATATTTAATAAATAGAAAATTTAAATCGCGTATTTTATCTTTAATTTTCGTTGTCAATTGTTGCGATTGAAAAAAATGAAAATTGAATAGAAATTTCTTTGGGAAACTCGTGACAGATAATGAGAAATTGATATACCTGAGGAGTAGATACGAGGAACTAAATGGCGCGTACCTATTGCTTCATTAATGTAAAAATAATCTTGCGCCCAAAACATAGGAGAAAATTTGTATTTACCAATTCCGTGAATTCCGCAATTTTAGACGAGATGGTCGAAAATTTGGCATTCGCGAGTGGAGAATTTCTATCCAAGATATGTAGAATCGGTCACTCCAGTGCGTTGCAAAGTCCTTTGTGATCACAACATTTCCTGAATATATGCAGTGTCATGTTCCTAATGTAATGTAATGTTTTTTTTTTTTTTTCATGCATAGAAATCCTCGTTCAAACACTTTATCCGCTATTGTTGAGACGTCTTAGACTTCCCAATAGAAACATTTATCAGAGTATTTGGCATCGTTTGATTTCAACGTTTCTTCCACATACGTTAGAAACGCTCCTTTCATCCTTACTCCTGCACGTGCAAAATCACGAACTCTCCAACATAACCAACCCTGTTTGCATTGAAAATCGATCCCGGTGTCAGATCCGGAAGGTTGCTAAAGCTATCGGATCGCTGATTGGAAAAGCAAATAGCGAGACAGCATCATACCTGGTTAAATATAAATATTTCGTTGGCGGAAAAATGTTTTCGGTTACAGTTTCAAGGGTCCTCTGTTGTTTTTTGAGTTGGGGATACCTCCAGAGACGGCCGGGTGAAGATGATGATGACACCCCAAGATTAGGGGTAGACGATGGTTTGCGAGGATTCCATTTTTCGTGATGGACTTGATGATTGCTTCCAATGTTTACCACTCTTTTCAAAAAAATGCGTGCAGATCTCTGCGGTCTACTCAAAACCCTCATATCTTCTTGGTCCGACCCAACGTTTATCAAACACGGATCCATTGCAAACCAGATTTGTAAGTTGGTCACCAGCGAGGATCAAATATACCAACGACAATGACATCATGCTACCCAATTCTTTCATTTAGACTTGACCAGTGCGATCCTCATAATATTTGGTTATCTCCCTAAAGAGACACTGATCAAGGCAGCAATTCCCAGGGAAATCACATTGGGAGTTACTCAATGGTTGCAGAGTTCTTCCGAGGGAACGAGGAGATTGGGAATGGTTCGCGTGACGTCCAATGATTTGTTCAATACAAGAGTCATGATAGAGATTATAACCAAGTCTACGTTAGGTCACGGCTGAAATGCTTTCGAAACTAATTGATGAACCGGAAAACGTATTGAATTTTGATATGGCTTCGGGGGATGAGGAGATTGAATATTTGAGGAAATTGGTTGAGGTCAAAGATGGAATTGCCGATTTACAGGTCGCAGAGGAAAATTTTTTGGAAGGTCTGTAAACATTTGCATGGTTCATTACTAGAGATGCCGAAATTCAAATTTTTTATGGGCACGGTAGAATCGTACGAAACCGAAGAATTCCTAGAGGACACGGAACCTAATAAAGCTGACGAGAAGATCTTAGAACCACTCGATACGGATATCGATAGCAACATAGCCACGATGGGTAAAAAAAAATAAAAAAAAACAGTCGTAAATCTTTATGCAGGAACGGTTACGACGATCGCAAATTTAACATCGAAACATGCCCTTAGTCAATGAACAGGATACAGCGGCAATGGCAGACTCCGATGACGACGATGATTTCGAACCGTATCCGATGGAGGCCGAAAGTGAGAGTGAGGATGATGGTGAAGCCATACCACAGACCAAAGGAAAGAAGGTCTTGGCGCCAGTGTGTGTGTCGAGATTGCATATTATTGTTTGATATGTTATCCAAATGACACCATCTAATTAATTCTGCAGTTACATAATAGATCTGATCTCATACCTGAGATCTAACGAGGATCCTGAGAAAATAGAAATAGCTATTAATAATGCAGCAAGATTGATTAGGAATAAAATGGGATTTGGGATGGAATTGGGTAAATATAACTGCGTACAGGGGAACCATCAATCGAACAAAAGAAGGAATAACACCATCCTTTTCAGATGACAACGCGAAGGAACTGGCCGGAATCCTTCTCAGCCTGCAAGATAATTTCAGCTTGAAAGGATTCGAGGAAAACAGACAGAACGCATTGACAGCTCTTTCGTGCGGAAGTCCAAAGATTGTTGTACCGTAAGTGTGAACCTCATAAGTTATCAAATCATTTTTGCCATTCGCTACACCGTTGTGCGTGCTTTCTTTGAACCTAGGTATCTTGTCCAACAACTATTCGAAACCCGATATTCACTGTCCGACAAGTTTATGACACTATCGGTATTGTCATCGGCGGCAAAGGAGTTGGCCGGGATGCAGACGCAAGAGGTTTGTTTATTCACATATTCATTGTAAAGTGAATCTTAATTGTCCAATCTTTCTTCTAAAAAAAAAATTTTTTTTAGGATGTATCCGATAATAAAAAATATATCGATGATACTCTTTCCGCGAAATTTGACGATCTCAGCGTTTCCACCTTGAAAATTCCTGCCACGAATGTTAAGGAAAACCGATTTTCGCGCAGGCCTCAATTGGAATTTTTGCGCAGTAGCTCAACCAAAATTAATAAATTTAACGAACTTGCGGCCAAAACTTTCTTCTTTCCCTTGACAGCCGGTTTCTGGGCACTGACTCGTGACAGGTTGACAAATATATTCATTAGTCAGAGTGGATTTCCTTTCGAATTTATTCAGCTTGAACTCATTTTTTCTTAGTGAACGGAGCAACCTAACATATGAGCCTGTATTGTTGCAAAGATATATTGCTACTTTAGCGATTATAGTTCAGTGTTCTGGTGAGTTCTCATTGTTCACACATTTGCAAACATGACCAGTAACCCTAGACATCTTTTACATTTAAGTCAATACGATTGATTTATTACAAATCATTCGAGAATTCTGGGATTTAATACTATCCATACGGTATCATGACGATCCGGCTGTACTGAGGGCGCTGCTATTTGGCGTAAGCGTCATATTAAATTCTTTACCGGGACGCGACTTGGCTGAAACTTTTGGCAAAGAGCTGATCGAAACTCAGCAATGGATAACCGGTTAGAAATTTCTACCATTAATGTAAACTTTGGGTTGAAATAGTGGACTCAATGTCGTTCATTTTACTTTTTTCAAATTCAAGCGGTGTTTGAAAATAGAGTTAGTGAAGATGTTCAACCCATGGCGGCGTGGATTTTGGTTAAGATAAAAAATATGGTTTCAGAATATCAGCGATTGTTAGTCGGTGATTTATTGCCTCTTACGTAGTTACCGCTTTTGTAATAACTCGCGCGTCGAAACCTGCGATCTTGTAATCTCAACTCTGAATGAATGATCGGTAAAATTTAACTTAAACCGAGGGGTATAATAAAATTGAAGCGGACCGCCATACCATGTTTTTTCATATTTGTCCTCTTTTCGAATATAACTTACACAATAATTGATTTATAATAATAAATCTCAAATTCTTATTTAACCCATTTCTATTTTTTATAAAATTCACATTATCAAATATATCAATATAATTCATAGAATTTCATTTAAACTCTAGTTTTGGATAAAAAAAAAAATTTTTTTTATAAAATAAAAAAATTTTTTCTTTCTTTTCAAATCCACAATTAAAGTTCAAACAGCTTGTTTTTATTTATTGTAAATTATTTATAGTATAAATATTATTATTAGTTTCGATAAATTAACTTGTTGATTCTCTGATCACATACACATCCCTTCCCTATATTAATAATGGGTAGAATATTTTTAATTTCGGTTTTTTTTATTTATAAAAAAATTATATACAGTACGTATAACATAATATCAACCTAACGCTTCTTTCATTAATTTCTTTGTTTTTTCAGTTATGATTGCCATGGTAAGTCCTGCACACAGCGCAGTATTGTATTCAATGCTGAATTCTGTATATAATTTACGGCGAACAGAAAGGAGGGAAAGAAAGGAGTGATGGGTCACTTTGCACGGTTGCTGGACTAGTGACATGTAACATGATTAAATAGTATAGTGAATTACTTAAGTATTGTGAACCTTGTACCTCACGTGATACCAATCATACGCGGCTTTATAAAAGGTAATTGATCAATGCTTCTGGGACGACAAATGTGATTCCAATAAAAGTTTTGTGCCGACTTTCTTACGGCATTTTGAGAAATAAGAGTGAAAAAGTAGTTATCTACGTCCGTAAATTCTTGACTGTTGTAGAAAGTTGATTCCAAACACAAGTGGCATCAGAAATACGTGGTAAATCTGTTCGTGCCCGGCCTCAAGAATTGCATAGCCTCTTCACCTGTTGTCATAAATGCTAGTACCCTTTTTGAATCCTGAAAGTCAATCCAGTGAAGACTTTTATCCTAAATTGATAACACGTCATTCTAATTAAATTAAATAAACAATATAAGGTACCATACCATAAATAGAATATTACGTACAATATGCAAACCGCTTATTATAAAATTTCCATTTTTATATACTTGCATAGAATATACAAGTTAGCATATAAAATAGATCCTTGAAAGTACGCACACTTTACTATAAGGGTTTAAATGGATAGATATGGAGTTTATCCTTTTTTTCTTCATAATTTTATCCTTGTCCGTTAATTTAAGCAAATCCTTTACTCCTACTGCAAGATATGCTCATTCAACCACAATTTATGATAAAAAGATTTATTTTTTTGGTGGAATTATTCTTGACTTTATAGCATATAATGTTAGTCTTTCAAATGAGGCCTTTTACCTTGACTTAAGTGTTCCTTTTAATATCTCATCACCTTCCTGGGTTGACCTGACGAGCATTGCTTCAATTCCTTATTATAGCGCATGGGCAACTTCTTCTCTAGGCGGGACAAGTGACCCATCACTCCTTTCTTTCCCTCCTTTCTGTTC